GACTGAATGCACGGTCAAAGAGGAAGGTCTCGGGATTAGGCCTTCAAGGAGGTGAAAGAGGGGATGAGGTGGAGGGAATCTGGGATGGAATAAAATAATATGAACAGTCACTACAGTTTTTAGTAAAATACCATGAAGAGTTTTGAGACATCCTTACGAAGTGAAAGACAGTGTATCAAACACAAGGATTACTAGGAGATGGGTATTCCCAACTGATGCATTTAAGTAACTCTGAAATTAATGGTGTAGAGTTATTGCACACTGCACACGGCTGCAAAAGCTACTACCTGCTGACCTAGATACAGCTCCAAGCAGAGAGAGAGAGAGAGAGAGAGATAGATTGGAAGTAGTCATTTAAGGAGTAGAAATTCATCTGGAATCTGTCTGTTTATACAGCATTTCAGAGCGTCCAAGTTTTGGCAAATTGTCAAATACGTCCTTGATTCTAAAGTCCGACTTTCACCCAATTATTTGTAAGAACTGCAAAGCGAAATGGCTTCGAAGTTAAGCCCGGATTCAAAAGATTCCCAGCTATTAATGTTTTCTAGGAGCACGATAAACAACATGATCGAAACTTTCAAATTATAAACTTGGACCGCAAGCCACAGAAGAAACGGCCAGACTCCTGTTCTCCCTTACGTCTAACATGATGAATCTATTCGAGGTTTACATCAGAAATCGCTCACTCAGTAATACACAGACAGATGGGTAAGGGAGCTTAGGAGTGAGTCCTTCCAGATCTCATTAAAAATAGGGGTTAAGAGCAGTAAGTGCATGCATATATTAAACTGCTGTACATATTGAGAAGGAGATTCAAACTGGATTAAAAAGCCATTGCCATCATGAAAAATGTGTCTGAGAAATGGGTGGTGGAGGGGAGTGGGCGGGTAGAGGAAGTTTGAACTCGAAGCTGAGAGTACTACCCACCGAGCCAGGCTGAAAAACTTCGCCCCATGCTTTCAACCTGGGTATCCAGCGTATAGTGCAAAGGTTACAATTTTGCGATGGGTTCCCAAGTGAATGTTTAATACAACTTGCAGGTGCTTTCGCTCGTTCACTTTGCAATGGGTCGACAATTTAACGTCTCAAATAAACTAAGAGCTCCGAGTGGTGTCACCCCCCCCAAACGGTTAATGTTAAGCACCTTGGGACGTCCTTCCGACACGAAAGACGCTCTATATACACGTAACTTAGTGTTATATTGTATTGTTGGTTCACTACAGTATCAGGAGGCACGATACTTGTCCCGAGACCAAGGGACGAGGCCACAGAACTGCGGCGAAGCCAATCAGACATCTTAAAGCTCCAAGTCAGGCGAAGAAGCCAATAGAAGAGTGAGCGCCAAAGCCCTTAGCACGATGGAGAGCTACCACATGGACTTTCTGTTTCCTAACCCTGCAGGTTTCCGGCCAGATTTTACCCATTTGCACCGATATCCTGCGGGAAAGCTCTCGAGAGCTCTCAATAGACATTCTACTGTTTCTCTCTGGCGTTGTCAAGATCAGAAAGGTATCTGAGGAGCCAACGGAATGGACTTCAGTTGTTCGGTCTAATTTCCGAAGGGTCTTTAAGACCCGCAAGAAGATCCTTGTGCGAGGAGCCTGTTAACAGACACAGATTGCAATGGGCAAATTCAATTTGTACTAATTGGAGGGAATTAACTTGTGAAATCGAACACTGCATGACTCTGGTTTGTTGAACCGGCAAAGGGAATTCTCCCCCGTGCCCCCCCTCCCCCACTTCCATGACGCAGAACGTTCCAGAAGTCCTATCGCTCGCAAGCAGCAGCAGTGGTGGCTCGGAGACAGCAGCTGAAGCTTTAATTGAGGCAGGGCACTGGGCTATGCACAGGAGAACATTGATAAGACGCTTCAGTGGAAGGACAGCCAAGATAAGCACATCTTGCAGCTCGTCACGGAGGAAATGGAGTCAAGTCTCGCGTGCAGTCAGAGCTGCAATTAACCGAACGATTGAATAAACGTGTATCAAATGCAATTCCTTTTTTACCACTTCCTCGTCGTCTCAACATTCGCCTACAAACACATATTCGCCGCACCTCACACTAAAGTCCTGCGAAGCCCTTTGAGATGTCTCACCGACGCACCCATAATAATTGCAAGGGATACTATCACGATCGCATGAAATTGCTCGCCTCAAGCAAACAGATGCACCGAGCTTTTATTCCAATTAAGACTGTCGAGGGACAACAAAATAAACCGCCTCACTACTGCCATCGACCGGTGTTTTTAGGAACTGAAACTTTAACTGGACCTAAGATCAACAAAAACCCTTGTGTTTGATGCAGCGCCTTTCACATCGGGGGAGCACTTTGCAGGATTGAGGGTACAGATGAGCCATGATCTTAATAGGGTGGCGGAACAGGCTCGAGGGGCTGAATGGCCTACTTCCTGCTCCTTTGCTCCTATGGAACACTGTAAAGTGCAGTGACAGTGTATTTTTCAGGGGCACAAACAGCCGTGAAGTGAATGACCATTCTATCCGGGGGATTGTTGGCCAGGACACCGGGGGGAATTGAAACTCCCTTCTTTTTTTGACGAGGGTTGTGGGATGGTGGGACCTCAGTTTAACGTCTCATCTTACGAACAGCGCCTCCAACAATGCAGTCTCCCCCACTGACACTGCATTGGAGTATCTGCTCGGATATGTGAGTTCAAAGTCCTGACGCGGGGCTTGAACCCAAAGCCTTTCTGACTTAGGCGAGAAGCGCTACCACCTGAGCCAGGCTGTCACTTCTAAAATAATAAGAACCGTTTAATTTATTCTTCTTATTCTCTTTGCTTGGCACTTTTAACGTTAATCGCTGACAGACCCACGGAAGAGAGAGACAGGCGATTTATTCCCCTTCAGTAAGGTGACACATCAACACACTGAGGAGGAAAATGGCAGACCTCAGAGGCTGACACGGACATTGCTTCCGCTCGCAATACAAGTTGCCTTCTCTGTGAAACGTTGCCAGTAGCTGTTAATGACATCAACAGGGCCTGAACAATTGGCGAAGTCTATAAGGGGCTTTCTTAAGAAGGAAACAGGAGAGACTGTCTGAGACACAGTTACTTCTGGTAATAATAATAATAATCCTTGCATTTGATATAGCGCTTTTCACGTCGGGAGGACGTCCCAAAGCGCTTCACAGAATATACTGTAAAGTGAATTGACTGTATATTTGTGGGCGAATGCGGCAGCCAATTGCGCACAGCAATGTCCCACAAACAGTCGTGGATTGAAAATGACCAATTTATTATTGTTTTGGTTTTGGAGGGATTATTATTAGGCTCTGTGTGGAGTAAGGAAACTTGCCCAAGGTTTCGCCCTCTGCCTGGAATTGAACTCAGGTCTCTCGCTTGCAAAGCGAGTGCTCTAACCACTGAGCTACAGGACTCCACAGTCCTGTAGCTCAGGTAGTTCTTTAACAATAGAAACTTTCAAGAAAAACAGCTCTGAAGTTAAGGCTGCGTGTCATAGGAATTCATCGAACTCTGAGTGTTCTGAAGTGCAACACAGAGAGTGTAACATCCGGACCCATTCCTTCCCCAAATGGTTTGCAATTGGGTAATGTTTGCCTTGCTCGTGGCGCTCTCTCCTGGTTAAAAAAAAACAAGCATGTCATTACCAGCAGGAGTGACTGATAAAGTGACCAGCAGCTTGAAACCTATTTCCCTCCCTCACTCCGCAACCCCCTCCCCGCCCTCCACCCGCCCTCCTTTCAGAAGTTGTCGTGCATTTCCCTTATTCATTGCGTTTTTTTTCTCTCTTGCTCCAGATTTTCTGGTAAATATACATTTTTATTAAAAAATTCCACCGAGTTCCAACGATTTGCAAAGAGGCCGGAAGCTCATTTTTTTGGAAACTGTGCGCAATTGACTGCCGCGTTTCGTCCACAAAATACGCAGTCAATTCATCTTACAGTGTATATTCTGTGAAGCACTTTGAGACGTCTCGAAGACGTGATAAGGCGCTATATCAAATGCAAGGATTATTATTATTATGTTATTATAATCGTCTGTTGCCAGGTCCCTATGTGTAGAGTGGCACACCAGGATTGTTAAGCGCCTTGGGATGTCCTCCTCACATGAAAGGTGCTTATATGAATGTAAATTTGTACGGTATGTCAGTGGGATGAACATGCTGTGGATCTGTAGGCTGGGGGTTTGATTTACTACTTTGGGGTTGGAAATCACACAGCAAATTGGCTGGCGTACGAACATACAACGTACACAGTCACTACACTTGACAACTATTAAATGTAAAGTGGCCCGAGACATGACCGGCGCTGTATCGATTGCAAGGATCGTAAGAGAACACGCCTTTCGGAATAAAAAAATATATATTTTATTGTTACACTAAAGTGCGACAAATATTTACTCATTGTTCAACATTGGAGAAAGAAGGGGTTACATTAAGACCGGTAAATAGTTGGCGGTAACATAAATTACAATAAAAAAAACTGTACATATGTACATTATTCACACCTCAAGAGGGTACGCAGCCTTTTAAGCAATGTTTAAACGTCGCTCTAAGGCAACTCGACAAATTCAATACGACGCGTTTAATGTTGTGTGTTTTGGGTGGACAAGGATTAGAACTTCCGTCCGCGAATAGTAAAAGACCCTTTCTGTTAAAAAAAAAACTTTGTTGAGAATTACTTTCACCGAGATTCACCGAGACAGTGTTTTACTTGGGGGAGATGGTTGTTGTCTAGGAATCGGAAGGCTTTATACCGTAACCCGACCTCGCTCTGGCCAGTCCATGTCGACCGCCGCAAACCGGCGACGCTGGGAACACTGACCGGTAACACGTGGGTCTTATTTTACACCCGCGCCCAGTCGCCATGTTAATAATGGGCATTACCAGTAAGCATCGGTTACACATATGCGCACACGCGTGTTCATCGTTCCCGAGTGAGACAAGCAAAAGGCGCTTTCGTCGGCTGGAAAAAAAAAAACTTTTTCGCCTAACAAATCGCACGAGTCAAATCCACTTTACGGTAACAACCGGCGAAGCACTTTGAGACGTCCCAACGACGCGAGAAAGGCGCTTTGTCGAACGCCAAGGATTGATTATTGCTGGGCTGGAGCCCCACCGGGTCACCAGAGGTCACCGGTCTGCACGGTGTAATCGCCGATCATTTTGCGGTGGAAGGTGGACTGGAAGATGTCGTTGTCGGAGGGGCAGTCGCTGTGACACGAGCAGGACTTGATGAACATCATCTTCCTCTTGATCCGGTCGCCCTCGGGACACTTGAACTCCACGACCAGGGTGACGGTGGAGTGTGGGGTGCAGCACCGCCCGTCCGTGCAGACTCCACAGAACCGTGGCCGGTAGGACTTGGTGCTGCTGCACCCGGAAAACTCAAACTTCATCGAGTGCAAAGGCTTCGCCGTTCGGATGCACTTTTTGCCTTTCTGCGGGGAGGAGAGAGAACAAGGCAGCAACGTTAGTAACTGTTTGCTACACCTTTTTTTGGGGGGGGTGTGGGGGGTGGGGTGTGCTGGTGGGAGGTGGGTGGGGGTTGTGGGGGAGGTGGGGAGTGACGGGGTGTCTGACACATGTGGAAACCCACCACCATTGACTTGAGGGCATCCAAACCAAACTGGGAGTTCCATGCATCCCAGCTACGCACGGAGATTGCAGGGATGGATTGGGCTCTACATCGGTGAGGAGTCTGATCACAAGACTCAACAACAAACCAACGACAACTTGCAGTTATATAGCCAGTCTCGTAGATCATGACTGATCTGTACCTCAACTCCATTGACCTGCCTTTCCTCCATGTGCCTTGATACCCTTTCCTTAACAGAAACACACCATCACGACATTTGTGGCTTGCGGAGGGAGCGGGTGGGCCAGATGTGGCCCGCAGGCCGCCAGTTGGACTGCTCTGGTTTAAGGTATGAGATGTTTTTTCGCAGACACTGAGGTATCGGGCCGCGACAACTTTCACTTGCAAAACACCCTGCACACAGGATCACGTCTCAGAGCGCTTTACCCAGCACTCCACGCTTTGAGGGGCTGAGTGAGCAGATCGAGTTCGGGTACCTTGATGCTCTGCTCCTGCTGGACGTCGCAGGGCCTGACCACGCAGAGCCGGGTCTGCTTCTCGAGCCGGCATTCCTGATTGTCGCTGGTCACCCTGGTGGAGATTCCCATTCCGCAGCGCTGGGAGCAAGCGCTCCACTCAGTGGTTTGGAGGATGCAGTTGTCGTGGAGTTGGTTTGAGTCGGGCCCGAAGGTCACTTCTTTTGTGTAAACTGGGAATGCAACGAACAAAAGAAGCTCATTAACCCGTAACGCGTACAGACAGCGTCGCGTACAACACTGTAGGGAGAAAGCAGGTCAGTGCGTTCAACTAACCCTGGCGGTAAGTCAGTAATTATCTCACTAATTGCAAGTGGAATTGAACGTTTCCAAAGGCTTTACTTCAAATTGGCGGCTGCCCACACGGTACACAGTCAATTCACTCTACAATATATTCTGCGAAGCGCTTTAAGACGTCTCAAGAACTTGATAAGGCGCTGGATCAAAAGCAAGGAGTATTATTATTATCATCATTATCATTATTATTTACCCGGAGGTTAATTTACAGCTGGAACAGGTTACCAGGAAAGATGGTTAAGGCCGAGGCAGTGGGGATTCAGTCAAGAAACAGCTTAATGTCTGCAGTGGTCCTCACCTGGCAACGCGACACTGAAGTCAAGGCCGCTTCGAGACTCATCACAGACCCACTCCTCACAGCACTGGCCGGGAACCTTGACCCGCCGGGGGGATGGACAGCCCGGGCTCGGCAGCCGGATGTCGTCAGTGCAGAAGGGGATGCAACCGATCGCACCGTCCAGGCAGGTGCACTGGTACTTGCAGCTGGGCTGGAAGGTCTCACCGCTCCGGTAAATCACTCCTCCCAAGTCACAGGTAGCACCCTGCCTGTCTGCAGCACACACAACACACACCCGCGTTAGAAAGAGAGAGAGAGAGAGAGAGAGAAAAAGAGAAAGAGACAGAGAGAGAGAAAGCGAGAGAGAGAGAGAATGAAAAGGAAGGAAGGGAGGAGGAAGGAAGGAAGGAAAGAATTGCATCTAAATTGCGCCTTTTGCGTCAAGCACTCCGGGACAATGTATAAATGCAAGTTGTTGTTGTTGTTGTTGTTGAAGAGGACATGCCCAGGTGCTGAGAGAGAAAGAACGAAAGAAAGGGAGGAAGACACGCAGTCACTACACCTCGCAGTGAAATCCCGCGAAGAGGCGCTTTGAGAGCCGAAAAGACGGCTGTGTGGCTTGTTAGTTTAGCCGAGCAGCGTGACCCGGGGAGGGTGGGGGGGAGACGGGACGGACTCACCCAGACAGATGCCTGTCTGCCGGCCGGACTGGTGAGGAGGCAGGTGGCAGTGAAGACCCTTGTGTTGATCGCACGGCTGTCCGAGGCTGCACTCGTCTCCGAGCTGCCCCGCGCACACCCGGCAGCAACCGCAACCGTCAGTCAGGAGGCTGACCCCGGCCGGGCATCGGGGCAGCTCTGGGGGGCAACTGCAAGGCAACGAACAATCGGGGGAAACAGCTCCCACCTGCAGTAAAACCATAAATCAGCAGTAAGTATCACAGTCAGAATAAATCGGATGAGATGTTAACCCGAAATCCCATCGGCCATTTCTGTTCAGGTGGTGATCGAAGATCCCGTGAAAGAGAAGGGAATATTTCTCTCTCTCTCTCTCTCTCTGTCTCTGTCTCTCTGTCTCCTGGCCAACAATCCCCCCCCCACCCCCACCCCCCAACTCACCCACCCCAGAATAAAACGGGATCACTCCCTCCACGGCTGTCTGTTGGACACTTCTACGTGCGAAACTGTCTGTCGCGTTTCGCCCACAGAATACTGTCGATCGGCTTTACAGTTTAACGTGTGAAGAGGTCTCAACGACATGATAAGACGCTCTATCAAATGCTGGGATTGTTCTAAATTATAAAATAGATAATAATCATATTGTTGAAGGATATTTATTACTGTTCGTGTGGGGTAGCAAATTTTAGCGTCCAGAGAGCAAATCAGTTGCATATTTCTGAATCTAAGGAGGTATTGGCTTCCGGGTTTTTAGATAAATTTTCTAGAGTGTTTTAAAAAATATATAGAGGGAGAATTACGGCATTATTACATCGTATATCTCTGCCCCCACCCCACCCCCCTTCTCTCTCTCTCTCTCTCTCCACCCCTCGAGCCGTGTGAATAGCAAATGCAAGGAAAAATACAGTAACTGAGTATTTTTTGGGGGGTAATTGCAAGCGGCAAGGCTCAGAGGCAACATTTTACTGCGTCATTTCTGAAGGTGGAATGGTTCTTCCTTCCCGGGACATTTCAACATCGTCTCTTTATTAAACGTAACACCATTCCCCCTAATGGGGCGAGAGAATAACAATAATCATAATAATAATAATAATAATCCTTGCATTTGATCCAGCGCCTGATTGCATCCACCAGGAGTCTCAACGTGCTTCACAGAATACAGTGAATTGACTTTATATTTTGCGGGCGGAATGCAGGTGAGGAGAGAGCAGAGATATCGGAAGCTTTCTGTAACAATGCAGTAATTCTCTCTCTCTCTCTCTCTCTTTTCAAAGAGAAAAAAACACACAACTTTATTAAATGCTTAAATACCGCCTTGTGTTTAAACACTGCCGGGACACGCATTGGGGCGCAGCTTTGGGGGATGAGGTTTCGACAACAACTTGAGTTCATGGAGCGCCCGTCACGCAGGGTAGAGTCCCAGAGCGCTTGAAAGCAAAGCGTGTCTGTCGCTGCCGCTGTCTGCAGTCCTGAAGTCCAGAGAGAGAGAGAGAGAGAGAGGGAGAGTTAAACTTACCAAACAAGCCAGAGCACAGAGAGGTAAGCAGCGAGACCACAAGGTTTCCAATCCAAACATTTTGACGCCGACTTTGCCTTTCTCTTTACGGAGTATTTTTCTTTCTGCCCCGTCTTCCTTTCCTCCTTTATCTTCCGTGGCTTTTCGTGTTCGAGAAAACCCTGGAGTCCTTTTGTGGTTCTCGCACAGACTGTTGGAAGTTGGGAGTCAGAAACCAAGCTTTAAATAGGCAGGAGGAGAGAGAGAGAGAGAGAGGGCGGATTCAGAGAGACTGAGTGACATTCGCACTCGGTCATTCTGTCACACATTCCACCCCTGTGAGCAGTCTCATTCACCCTTCCCCCATGTCTGGATATCATTACAATTACCAATTTACATTTTCAAGCTTCACCGCAAATTTTTTTTTTAAAAGAACGGTTTAAAAATAAACACCGTCGTTTCCTCCACCCCCTCCCCCCCCCCCGGAAAAAAAAAAATTCCAAGGCACCTATTTTTTTCGAAAAAAAGCTTCAGAAAATGTGCTCGCGCGTTCCAGACGCAGACAGGAATACTTCCTGGTAGTTGATATTCCACTCGGATCTAGGTTTAATTCTATTTTCTTAGCAATGTGTTATTTTAAAATATATATCTATATATATACACACACAGAGAGAGAGAGAGAGAGCGGCACAGAATTTGGCAAAACCTCTTTCAATACCGTACAAGCTTTAATTTTTTCTTGAAGTTTGTTTTTGAAGTTTCTTTTAAGATAAAAACAAGAAGATCGAGCTTCAAAGTCGAGAGTGAAGTTTACAAATGCCACATTTGCCAAACAACAACAACAAATTATATTTGTACAGCGCCTTTCACGTCTCGGAGGGCCACCCACGGCGCTGAATAAATGAGTGTATTTGCGATGCGCGTTCTGCCCCGATAGCACACGCAGGCAAGAAAACAAGATAATTAGGTGGAAAATGTGGGTTCCGTCTGGTCTATTCAGTGACAGACATCAGACACGCTTGAATAAAGGAAATTATCCTGGATCGTCTGCTAAGAGAAATAATGCTGAGAGAAAACAAGAGCTGTCGTAAGCCAGGCAACTGCGGTTTGTAATGGAAAACACATTCCTTCCCCAGATGGCGCTCCCCACGTTCGGTTGCTGGTTGAGACGGCCGTGTTGGATGGAGTGGTTGGTTGCCATTTTGGTTTCCGAAGGATGGAAGTGGATTTGAAGTTTATTTTTGCGAGATGAGTATTACCTCCAATAATAACGAGAAGAAAGGAGTTCCGGCGAAGGGGAGCAACTCCTGCGGTCGGCTTTTCACATATTTTCTGTGGCTTTGTGAATATTTTCCAGTGTTTACTCTCTCGCATACCAGCGGCCGGAGCGTTCAGTCTGAAGCAAGCCCTTTCACGCAGTCTCAATATTGAGGAAAAAGCCATGCTTTAAAGGATTCAATAAAAGATTCCTTTACTTCTCTTCCTCTACCTCCCCCCCCCCCACCACCACCACTTTTTTAAAAGGTTACATTAACGTTGTGTTCCCCGAGTAGATTTAGGAAGTACCACAAGAGGGAGACTGTACGTGAATTAGCCATTTCTACACTATTGCACAGAGCAAATATAAGTTTTTTTTAAATCGCTCCTTTCCACATTCAAATGGCTCAACCCAGTTTTACTGTAATTACGATCAAGTGTAGTGACTGTTTCAGTGCTTGCAGTCCAGGCTGACCCTCGAATGCAACCCTGGGCGGAGTTGTCCCAGGGACTTTAATGTCCACCTGAACGGGCACAGACCGTTGAGACATCTCGCGGTGTTTTCAGAACATGTTGCAAAGTGGATTGACGGGCTAATGTGTGGGCGAAACACGGCAGCCAATTGCTCAGAGCAATGACCCACAAACAGTTGTGACCAAATTTTTTGGGGGGCGGGGGGGCAGGGAAGGGATCCACCGATCCTCCGGAAAGTAATCTACCAATCGAGTACCAACCGGGTTCCTACTTACTACTAGGTAATCAGAGGCGTGTGGAGTAAGGAAACTTGCCTAAAGTTTCGCCCCTCTCTGGGAATCGAACCCGGGTCTGTTCTGTGGCGAGGGGAGTCCTCCAACCACTACGCTAAAGAGGTTGTGCATAGGGAGACTCATCACGTGTTGCGGTGTGATTCTCCGCGCACCAGAGGAACGCTCAACAAGAGGACATGACCCAAAGGGAACCGCGCAAATGGAACTTACAGCGAAATATCACCAGTGCGATTCATTCGTTCCGTCTGCACGGGGTTTATGAATCAGCTTCAGTCACCGCACTGACTGTTACAATTTCCATAGCTCTGAAGGCTTTTTCTGTGTCTCCCGACTACACGACTGGCACTGTTTGCTGCGCGCAAAACAACAAAGAAAGGACACTGTTCCCAAATGTCACGGGTCGCCCGAGTGCCCCGATGTCATCTGGAAACAATCTGCTGGGCCGCTGGAAAATAACACGCGGACAATCCTTTATTAGGTAAGGGGGCAATTCACGCACCGTTCACGAACCAAGCCACTTGCGTGTATTTCCATCGCATTCGAGATGGAAAAATAATAATAAATAATAATAAATTGATCACTTCGATCCACGAACTTTTGTGGGGACGCTGCTGTGCGCAAATGGCTGCCGCGTTTCGCCCGCAAAACACACAGTCACTACACATTACAGTACTTTCTGTCTCAAAGACGTGATAAGGCGCTATATCAAATGCAAGGATTATTATTATTATTATGCGAGTGACCTTGGGTACCGGCTGCTGCTGACTTTACATCTTGAATACAGGCTGTGTTCCCAGCTCCCTTGAAGTTCTTAAGAACTCCCAACGGAAGGGTTCATCGACCGTTAAAACTTTGGCTAAATAGAAGTTAAAAAGAAGTGTTGAAGGGCCATGTCACGGACCCAAACACTGATGGTGGTCTGAGTGTTTGGGTGCCAGGCACCTGTCGCACGAGCTCGGTGCTCCCGACGGGATCGGGCACACAGATGGGAACAGGCGAGGCTAGCTTCACGCTCCTGAATCCTGATGGATTTTCCCTTCCTCTCGGGAACGCTCGACCGCCCGTCCTCTGCGACCCGCCAGGTGCGGGCCTGACCTTTCTGGTTACAAAAATAACCCTTTTCACAGGTTGCGAAGCAGTGACCCGGGTCTGTCAATCTGCCAGCCATCACGGGCATGTGCGGAGGGAGCGGGGAGTTTGTGGAGACAAGGTCAAATCTTTAGAGAGGTTTTCTGGGGTGTGTGTCTGTGCTTCTATCTTTATCCTGGTGTGTCAGCCTGGCACAGTTGTAGCGCTCTCTCTCTCTCTCTCTCTCTCCTGAGTCAGAAGATTGTGGGTTCAAGCCCCCACGTTGGGACTTGGACTCACATAGTCTAAGCTGACGCTCCGATGCAACGCTGGGCATGTGTGTTGCGTTGCTGAGACGCCGTCCTTCGATAGAAACGTTAAACTGAGGTCCGTTCCGGTGGACGTTAAAAAACCCATCACCGTTCGAAAAGTGGAGGGGCTTACTCCCAAGTAAAATCGGCTAACAATCCCCTCCCAAATAAAATTGGTCACACACGGCATTGCTGTTTGTGGGGACGCTGCTGTACCCAAACTGGCTGCCACGTTTCGTCCACAAAATATACAGTCAATCCACTTTACAGTATATTCTGTGAAGCGTCTCGACGATGTAATAAGGCGCTCTTTCAAATGCAAGGATTATTATTGTTGTTATTATTATCTCATCTTTTCAAAGCCTCTCCCTCCCTTGCTCCCGCTTCTCCTCTTGGTATCTGTCCTTCGCCCACAGACAGACTCACAGACAGGACGCACGAGCCGATAACCAAGGCGGAGGAGAGAGAGAGAGAGAGAGAGAGAGAGAGAGGGAATGGAAGATTTTTTTTAAAAAAAAGAAACGACTCCTCTCTCAGTTAATTTGTCCCCAGTTTGCTCTGGTGAGTCATGATGTGCTTTCGGTAATACCCATCAAAGTGCCCGCGGAAAGCTTCCCGCTAAGCTCAGCGCAGACTGAATCCGTTGCGGATTCTATTTCTGGGGCAATGGTTAGTGTTTCGCGCTGACAGTGACGACTTGGAAGCCCCACATAATGTGCTGCGATTGTTCACGGTGAACAAGAACAGGCTTGTGAAGGGATACGTTTCCTTTCATGGTCTTAAAACAAAATCGCAACCGTCCATCTCAGCCGAGCTTCAGACAAGAATAACTAACGTACCGACATCTGCCCCCCAGACCTTTGGACTCCAATCCAATAGAGGAGCCTGGATACAGAGCAAACAGCAATTCTATTCACAGCGCGACTTACTACCAAAGCCGCAAAATATACAGTCAATATATATATATGCTTTGCCCACAAAATATACACACCGTTCACTTAACGGCATATTCTGTGAAGCGCTTTGAGACGTCTCGAAAACGTGATAAGGCGCTGTATCAACTGCAAGGATTATTATTAATATTATTATTATTAAACCTTTTTTTAAGATCAGCCTAAGACACTGTTAGTCGGAATCAACAAATCTTTCAAATAGTCTGGCTTCTTCAATGCTGCGTGCAATTATATATCAGTGACATTGTGTTGTCACTTTGCTTTCAACGCTGAGTTCTGATTACTAAAGACCATTGGCAATAATAATAATAATAATAATCCTTGGATTTGATATAGCGCCTCATCACATCATGGAGACGTCTCAAATTGTTTTACAGAGCATATTGTAAAATGGATGGACTGTGAATTTTGTGGTCGAAACACAGCAGCCAATTGCACACATCATGTCCTACAAACAGTCGGGACTAAATTTTTTTGGGGGGAGACGGGGAAGCTATCTGCCAATTGAATAACAACTGGGTTCCTACTTACTGCTAGGTAAACAGAGGTGTGTGGTGTAAGGAAACATGCCTATAATTTCGCCCCTTCTGGGAATTGAACCCGGATCTTCTCCCTCGCTGGCGAGACGAGTGGGCTAACCACTACGCCACAGGACTCCGACGGCCTCACTGTGGCCTCGAGAATAATCATTTCAGCAGAGGGGAACTTTCGAGCCAACAGAGTCAACTTTGTTGAACAAATATTGTAAACAATAAAAAAATAGCAGGGAACCTAATTAGGTTCAATGCTTGTTATTTCCCCCACTGACACACAGGCCAAAGCTGAAGCTGCCAAACCGCTCGTTTACAGCCCGAC